GAATGGTAAATTGTCCTTGATACAAAACACAAACATAACATGTATTGATGAACACGAAATTGTCTTTGGGTGCAAAAAAACACGTTGTCCTGATGACAACGTTCTTTGTTGACAAAAACAGTTGAGCTAGCTTATTTGAAGACTGGTGGAGGCTTTGTTGAAAACTAAATTGCGTATTTACACTTAAAAGTACCGATACTTAAATTTTGTCTTGCCGTCAAATGAAGAGATTTCAAATTCAAACGCTGTGAAGCACCATTTTGGCTGACTGGTCAATTCCGATATTGACGCCATTGAGAGTCACCGGCGAAAACACTTTCAAGGCTGGCTGAAATTGTTGTCGGCCTACTCCCAAAACATCTGTTACCTGGACTTTCCCCTGCATGACAAATACACTTTTGACCCTAAAAGAAAAAAAAAAGATTGCTAAAAAATCCATGATGCATTGGGGACACTGTACGCCCAATTTGCCTGTTCGTGACACACTTCTGGTGTTGCTGTTTGTGTGCAGTTCCTCTACCACCACCGCAGAACCTTATGGAAGTTCAGGTTCCTGTGGTCGGGAACCGCCAATGCGATTGCCAATATGGCGGAGGAGTCATCACCGACAACATGATTTGTGCCGGGCTGAGTGAGGGTGGAAAGGACGCCTGTCAGGTGACAAACAAATTCACATGCACATATAGGATCAGGACTACATCAGGAAAAACCTTAAGGAACCCGTTGTACAGGTTAAAGGTTGGGTCTCCATTTGTATTCCCAGTGAGAGCTGGACGAGCAGAAAAAAAAGTGAAACATACAGTATGTCATTTGATCAAGGCAAAGCCACCACCACCATACAGGAAATGGCTTGACTGATGAGTCAAAGATGAACCAGCAAAGAATTTCCGACATGCCTATGAGAAGATTTCAATTGAGGACAGTGGCATTCAAGCACTTTTGTCATCCTCGTGTATAATACCTCAGCGAATGTTTCCAAAAATGATGAAACAATCTACGATCGAACCAGATGACTCACTTAATTGATTAATTAGTATCTGTCACGTCACCAAAGCATAAATGATTCGTCTCATACGAAGGCCTTGCCGTTCCACAGGGTGATTCTGGCGGTCCCATGATGAGCAAGCAAGGATCTGTGTGGGTGCTGAGCGGGCTCGTGAGCTTTGCGAGAGGTTGCGCTTTGCCAGATTTTCCGGGCGTTTACACGCGGGTGTCCAGGTACGAGGCATGGATCAGGAGCCACACGAGCGACGGCAACTTGCCAGGCTTCGTCAGTTTCACCTCCCCGGGCATTGACCCAGACGTGTTTTTTAATTGTCCCATCACCACCACGTCGTCCCCTTCCACCACACAATGCATCACCCAGACAAGCTCGACACAAGTTACCCACACCTCAACGCCAGCATTCCCATCTCCCGACACCACCAACACCCCCACCACCACCGGCAGCTCAACAATCCATTCTGGGATCTCCTGAAAAGAGGTGGTCACAACACATCACAACAGAGCTCTTCTTCACCGCAAGCACGACGCCACTTCGCAAAAAAGCAAAATAAAAGACACCTGTCATAAAAGATGAAAATGGATCTTCTAAATTGGGATTCTTCTACGATGGTCTAAATTGGGATTCATAACAAAAGATAATCAAGAAAGTCATTCATAATAGCGGTTAAGGTAAATATTGTCATTGTAGATTGAAAAAGCAAGAATGTGTTCATGACATTGACTGTATTTATGAAATTTGTAGCGCCACTTTCCTGTGTGCCCAGACTCTTATGGACACCCTGTAGAACACACAATAAAATGACTTTTAAAAATGAAAATAAAACCAAATAAAGAAAAATGTCTCGTGGACATAAAAGTCCCCATCAATAATGCGGTTGTACAAGTTCAGCGCGAAGAATGAAATTCAATCCAACCGTGCTTCAAGTAATATTTAGGTCTATCCACCCTTGAATCAATTTCAAGACAAGCTGTGGTGTCTCGATCTGAACACGAGGTTGCACTCATGTCATGGTGTTCATGACAGACAGAAAAAGAAGACATGAAGAAGAACTCTGGCGGTTAAATGAATCCTGAAGCATATTGTATTCTGACTGTGTAGTTGTCAATAAAATGACCAAAGAAAGAAATCCATGCCTGGTTGCTGAGAAATCACACAGAACAAACACAAATGTCCGTTGATTGTCCTCTTCCGTGCTCTTAGCCACTTTTATCGAGTGATTTGGAAAAATGCCTTGGCGCTTGGTGGTGATGCACTCTTCACATTCAGGCAAACAGCTATTTGAGTGGCCAAAAGAAAAGAAAATTGGCTGCCGTTGATGAAAACATTCAAATCAAAGTACGAAACATGTACATGGATCTAATCCTGTATGAAATATTCAAACTTTAGGAGTGCATGGATGGAAACATCTTTCATGGTTTCTAATCAGCAACGCTGCCGATATAATGTGCCGAGTGGCCGACAACGCAACAGAACTACCTTACCAATGACAATGTAGAACACCAACCCCCGATAACGTGTGCTCTCAGCACTAGCGGGAATACTTGAACCAAGTAGGTAATCCCAATTTACAGCACGGAACAGCCTGGAATTGCAAACAATAACACTAAGAACCTCCTCTTCCTCAACTCTTGAGACCTCTGGTTCCCCTCAGATAAGTTTTCAACGTCGCTTTCCGAATTGATTTCAGACTGGCTTTGTACACTTGCCATCGTGAGCTATTATCTTGAAATGACGTCACAATTTGGGGTTTGTCGCTCGTCAGTATCTCACTTCAGGAAAATGATTCCTTTCTCAAATTCCTTCCATCCATTTTCCGATCCACTTAATATCCTCACAAGTGTTGCCTGGGGTGCTGGAGCCTATCCCAGCCGTCTTCGAGTAGTAGGCGGGGGACACCCTGAACCAGTTGCTTGCAAATCGCAGAGGACACATAGATGAACAACCATCCGCGCTCACACTCACACCTCGGGACAATTTCGAGTGTTCAATCAGCTTGCCATGCATGTTTTTGGAATGTGGGAGGAAATTGGAGTACCCGGAGAAAACCCACGCAGGCCTGGGGAGAACATGCAAACCCCACACAGGGAGGCCAGTACCTCTGCACTGCGAGGTCAACGCGCTAACCACTGGACCACCGGGCCGGGCCCCTTAAGCCTCAAATCACTCGAGTCATTATTATGGTGATGATTATTATCATTCAAAGGGACTTAAACAGAGCGGAGCAAAACTCAACCACAAACTTCCCAATAATAAGCTGCTCAGGACCACCCGGCAGGGTAAAAAAAAAAAAAAAAAAAAAGGAACCAAAAAAATTTTAAAAAAAAAAAAAGAAAAAAAAAAAAAAAAAAAAAGGCTCCTGCAAAATTTTAAAAAAAAAAAGACACAGAGAGACTCCCATTTCTCCAACACCGCCCATCTTTGGAAACCTGCAAAGGCTGCGGTGAAAAAAATTTGAGTGGACCAATGAAGCAAACCTCGAACTCTTACGAGGCTTTTGGAATTGCACAGGTTAGTTTGGATGACAACACAGTCACGCCCCCATTGAAAAAGGCACAGTAAAGGACTGGCTCACGCCGAGGGAATATGTGAAAATTATTGTATTTTGGTGCGTCTTTGTTGTCGTGTGGTTAAACCGGGGGTTGGCAACATGCGGCTCCAGAGCCGCATGCAGCTGTTTAGCGCCATCTAGTGGCTCCCTGGAGCTTTATTCAAAAAAAATTTGAAAATGGAAAAAGATGTGGCAGGGAAATTTATATTTTTGTTTTAATATGGTTACTGTAGGAGTAAAAACAGGACACAAACATTCTTAACGTTTCCCAATGCTGTTAAAATGTGTAGAATAAATACAGTATTACATTTCAACGTAACTGTCAACGAAGATTTGCGTCATAGCCTGCGAAAAAAAAAAAAATTTTAAAACGGCGTTTCATGCACAATTCACCGAGGGTGCTGGCAAAGAGAATCTGGAAGGCCGTGAAAAGCATTTTTAAAACAGTACACGTAAGCTACGATCGTCAAAAACGCTGCAAAAGTGCGTCCCATGCCTCCGCGTCAGATCTCGATGAAGGTAGGTAAGCATGCATCTGTAAATGTGTTATGTATGCGCCGGTTGATTGCGGTAGGTTGGTTGAACGAAAAGTAGATCTTCGGTCAAAAAAGGTTGGGCAGCCCTGCTCGACAGAATGCACTGCACGGAAAAAAAAACATTTAATCATGAAGGCTCCTCATGTAATTGTAGCAAACTTACACGTTGCAGCTCCGAAAAAAGGAGAGCTGTGGTGTTGGTTTTTTTTAAAACGTCCACTTCATTTATGCTTTGAACAGTCTCGACAAACACAGACACGTCTGCGTCCGACTCCGTGCCTTCTCTCCTCGCGTTCGACTCGAGAGGCGTTCTAAGACCGCCTCTGAAAAACGAAAATGAATGATCACTTCAAAGACACGAAGAAAAAATAAAATTATGCACGAAAACAGAAAATCAAGCGAGGAAATCACAGAATAAATTCTATGGGGGTGTTTGTGAACACACAATAAAGGAATTAATAGGATAAACTATTCTGAGACAGTCCAGTCTCCTACATACATACAGCATGTGTTTCCTTCATTGTAAGTTTTATAGAAGGATTTTTTTTTTTTTTTTTTGGCGGCTCCAGACACATTTGTTTTTTGTTTTTTTTTTGTCCGATATGGCTCTTTCAACGTTTTGGGTTGCAGACCCCTGGGTGAAACGCTGGTGCAAAAGTTGCCACACCTTGGCCAAGTGAAAATGATGATTGAGGGTGGAGAACAAAGACGAAGACAGTATAATATGTTGATCGAGGGTGGAGGAAAACTGCCACCCTGGGAACCAAAATGTTTTTTGTTGGTGCGGCATGCCAAGTCTGGAAGGCAGCCAGGCCAGCTGACTCTGCCTTTTTTTGGTTGAAATTTTCCAATCCAGGTCCATGTAGGCTGTGTCTGTCAGTGTGGGCATGTTCTGAGGGCAGGCATTTATTGACGGTGGCAGAGGTTGTGAGGCATCTTTAAGCTTTGCGGTCATGGATACGCCGATGCTAATCATTACTGCGTTGCTACTTCTGCAAATGATCACAGGTGAGATATTTTTCATTTTTTTGGGTTGGGATGGGTCAGAAAAGGACTTTTCCACGCCATCCTTCTTTCATGCATAATGACCAGAGTGCATGTGTTCGGATGGGTTGTTCTTAATGGAAAAACAGCAAATGATTACTGATGCTTTTTCGTTGGGGTGACAGAGTCAAGACTCGCGACACCCCTTTTCCAATGTGTAGTGCTCGTTTGAAAACAAAGGCTGCATTCCGTCAAGACGCTGCGTTTCCTTGTCCGCAGTCAGCACCACACGATTGATTCATGAAGGAAACAAAACGGCATGTGCTGCCCATGAAATGTCAACAATTTTGTATGACATCTGGATGTGTTCTTTTTGTCTTTTTCATCTTTAGAATGCGGAGGGCAACCAGGTGAGTCGCAGCCTTGCTTCTTCCCTTCCTTCCAACCGACTTTCCTTCCTCTCTCCATCTTGACCTGCCTTCCATGCTGCCTTTTTCTTTCCCCTGACCTCCTTTTTATCCTTCATTTTTTCCCCCTCAGTACTTTCCTTTCTTCGCCCGCCAATTCTTTTCTTTTCTTTGCCTTTCATTTATTTTTTTAAAAATGATGTCCAGTAAAATTAAATTCAACTATTTTGTTTTGGAGTTGCTTTTTTTTCATTTGTCATTTCGATGGTGCGTGATGTATTTTACGGGGTGCATGTTACAGCTTTGTGACCCACATCAATATGGTTGTATGTGTGTTTTCAGTGTGCGGTCAAGCCCCTCTCAACAATGGCAATCAGGGGGCCACCCCAGGTGCGTGGCCCTGGCAGGTCAGCCTGCACAGGGGCGGGAACCCCTTATGTTCGGGGTTGCTCATCACCGACAATCAATACAGTACACACACGCACGCACACACACACACACACACACACACACACGCGCACACAAACGCACACAAACAAACACACAAGCACAGGCACACGTAACCCAACCCCAAATTAGCCCAGGCCTTTTCACGAGTTCCAATTCGCCAAAAGTGGCCTCAATAAAGCCACAAGGTACAATTTGATGCTAATGACAGAACAATCCAAATCAATTAAAAAAACGAAAACAAAACAGAGATCATTGTGTGTGTGTGTGTGTGTGTGTGTGTGTGTTTGCAGAGCTGGAAATGTGACAGCGTTCGTGGGGCGTCACAGCCAGACGGGTTCAAACCCGAACGAGCAAAACCGCAGTGTCAGTCTCATCATCTCCCATCCTGACTTCAACTCGAGCACCTTTGACAACGATGTGGCACTAGTGAAGCTTTCCTCACCCGTGACCTTCAACAACTTCATCAGGCCCATCTGCCTGGCCGCCAGCGGAAGCACCTTCTTCGACGGAACCCAGAGCTGGTTCACCGGATGGTGGGACGTCACCTCGGGAGGTCATTCTGAACTACTAATTGTTTTTTTTTAGGTTTACTAAAAGAAATACCGCCACTGCAAATTGTATTTGATGTTTAGAAAATCAAGTTAGCGTCTTTCAAGACGATTATGTTTTCTTCAATGCATCAAAAATACATTGAACTATTTGAATACCAACTTATTCAGTAAATCTGTTTCGATTTCGCAGATCCAAATTTTAAAATGTAGCGTCTTTTAATTGTATCACACCCCACATTTGGAAATGCGTATGGAATCGTCTCATCTGAAAAATGCACACGAAACTATTTGACTCGAAATTCTGACTTGCCCGTGTACCGGGCTGTAAAATCCCATCGAAGAAAAACAATTGCTTCAAAATACTTTCGATGTCGGGGGAGGAGCTGTTTTTTTCGTCACATACTGTTGGTGTTGTTGTTGTGCGCAGTTCCTCCACCGCCCTCCGGGGACCTGACAGAGGTGGAGGCTCCCGTTGTC